AGTTAATCCACTCACTACATGCAATTACACACAACTATACAATAGGCTGGATTGGATAAGATGACAGTTTTAAGATCTAATGTCACAGGGTGGAGGGAGGGAGAGATTGATAACAAGCTTTGTTTGTCGAATCAACTGCAAATACGTATAATAGGAATGATTCGACACCTGTCATCATCAGTTGTATCACAGTACGGCGTATCCTTCTTATTCTTGAAGATAAAGCATATGGATCAGGTTACTCTCTTTCTCTCTCTCTCTCTCTCTCTCTGTCTCTCTTCCCATAGCGAGGAGAGTAGGTCAACTGATGAGGTTGTGGAGGTGAATCACCTAAGATGGTTAGGATACGTGTTTCGCATGACAAGTTACCACCTTTCGTGATGAGCAAATTTACCTGATATATGATTACACTGGAAAAGAGTTAGAGGCAGTCAGACCAAAACCTGTCATCAATCCATGAAACCCTTGACAGTTGGTTTGAGCCAGACCACATAGAGAGAGAGAGAGGTGTGTGTCGCCTAGTTGGGGTCTTCTGGACACTAAGAGCCAATCAATCCAGACTATTAGTGATACTTCTCAAAATCATTCCTAACACAGAGCTAACTCAGAACTATATGAAGTATGGCAATTTGAAGTGAACTGCTGCACTTCCCGGAAAAGTTCTACACATTGAAATTCAGTCAGTCAGTCAGTCAGTCAGTTAATCAAGTTAGTGGAAACTACTCAAGTAGTCGTAAAAAACAGACTCCTAACCCACTGACATTTTTGATATGTGAATGAATCTACCTAACAGAGAAACAATGTAATATGCATTAATCTATCATTGCACAGAAATTTATGTATATATGCTTTCATTACTCTCGAATCCATGTGGAGGAGATCAACAACACTCAGCATCAAAAATAAGATCCGGGTTTTCAACTCCAATGTGAAGTCAGTCAGTGCTACTGACTATACGGATCAGAGACTTGGCGCGTCATAAAGAGCATCTCAAACAAACTTCAGACCTTCACCAATAGCTGTCTTCGCTCAATACTTCGGTCAAGATCATATGGCCGGCCAGAAAAGATCAGCAAAAGGGATCTCTAGGAGCAAACCAACCCAGAAGGAACCGATTGTGCAACAAATAAGCAGGATGAAATAGAGGTGGATTGGCTGGCCATACTCTGAGAAGACAAACCATCAAGTGACATTACTAGACAAGCCATTGCTCGAGTGGAACTCGACCGTAAGGGAAGCGGTGAGTTGGTCGTCAATGCAAGAGTGACTTGGAGGAGGTCATGTGAAGAGGAAATTAAAGTATGTGGGTAGACTTGGAGCCAGGTGAAAACTCTAGCAGAGAACCGAACACAATGGCGACGTTTGGCTGAAGCCCTATGTTCCTCTAGGAATTAAAAGAAATAATAATGCATAAGTTATGTAGTATAGAGTTAAGCCTGATGACATCTAATTGGAAACAATATTGTTTGCTTAAATGTGTTGTTCTTAATTTTACTTTGGGAAAGGCGAATTACAACCGAAATGCAATACTAATACTTACCTATTTTTGGTACGAGTTTCAATTAACTCAAGATTTTCTAAGTGGTCGGAGAATATTCTCAAGAGATTTTGAAAGCTTTGAAAACATCCTCCTTTGATAAGAATATGAGTTAAGCTACCACAATTTCGGAAGATTGATGATAATCCCGATTCAATATTTTTAGATCCTGGGTCAACTTTTCAAAAAAAAAGTCAATGTTTTTCAAAATTAGAGAAAAAAAATAAGCACTTACATTCAATCTTAAGACTACATGTCTGTCGTCCGATTAGTTTCTGTTTAGATAAAAGGCGTAAATCTTTTGGTTGTAATTTACAACCAGACAAATCTAAATGTTTCCAGAAATATGAATAGCGAGTTAACACATGAAGTCTTTTGTTAATTCTGAAGTAATAATAATAAGAATTAGAAATTACGATAATCAATGATTAATTAAAAGAAAGTTACCTTGAAACACTTCTTATTAGGTCGATTTGGTTTAGATATCTGAGAATACGCAGAATTAACTCGTCAGGTAGATTGAGTAAAGAGACGGAATGATTAGCACTACAATGAAGAAAGCAAAGATTCGTAACAATTAGTTTCCTTTGTAAAGTTAGACAAAAAAATAAATAAGACATAATTTGTCTGAGTCGTGGAGTGTATTTTCACAATACATTTCGAACAATCTGATCACCCATGAACTTGTCATTATACATATAGATATATAGCAAGTGGATTTCCACCACGTTCTATAGACAAGAACATACATTCAAATCCTTTAAAACGTGACTTATCATCCGAACCCAAGATAGTACTGTACATGAGCTTGGAATTCAAAGGGAGACTTAGCTTCCGATATCATGAAAAGAAGGATATCACAGTCCCTGAAAAGAACATTCCCTGCTGCATCTCTGAGGACAGCCTTTACTGGTCGACCATGACTGTTCAATAACCTGAAGGACAAGATCCCGTCGTTGACCAACTCTATGTGTGTTTATCAATTCAACTGCTCGTGTGGAGCTAGGTATATCGGTCGTTTGACTCGAGTTTTGTCCAAGAGGGTGCAAGAACACTATCCTGCATAGTTACAAAGAGGTGGAAGTGGAGCAATAAGAAGCGCGATTATTGAACATCTGGTCCGTCATGATCACCCTATCTCTATAGCCTCCGCCTTTACCGTCATCTACAAGGTAAAAAGTAATTTACCGAAATTACTACGTACCCGAGTCATCCATATTGCTGAAGCTTTGGCTATCGAAACAGAAAAGCCAAATCTCTGTGTATAGAAAAAGTTCGTTCAACCCCTCCAACTTTCATGGTCCTAATCCCTCTATGCTAAAGTATGGTAATCCCAAATCATATTTTGGCTTTACCTATTTTTCGTCTTTTTTATTCGATTTGTATAGTCTCCCTTTATTACTCCAACTGTTACTATTACCAGTCTCACTTTGAACTGTCATCGGTATTATTTCACTTGTCACTCTAAATCGATTCTTTTTTACAATGTTCAATTCTATGCTATCAAATTTCACACAATATTACGTAATGTTTTTATTTTATTCGATTTGTCTACTAATCCTATGGTTGAACACCCCTTCCAAGTTCTATACATCCTATGAATTATTCTCTATATGACATTAATCATTTTGCCACTTGACATTTAACTATGATTTTAGTTTTAATTGCATTTCATACCATTATTCTTTTATGCATTCACACCTATGATTCAATTCCCTCACCGGATATAGCTTCTTAAAAACCATGTAAATACGATTGTACAGCTTGATGATAAGTTCATTGAAGAGTCTCTTCACTGGCTTCAGTAGCAAATGGAATCCCCAGAACTCATTAATCGTGAGAAGAGATTCCATAGCTCCTTTGTTGAGAAACATATTATACACACAGGACAAAAAATTGATGTTCACACGCCTTATATACCTATCTAAAAAACTTGTTTGGCGATTAGGAAGTTCAAACCACCTTTACGCATTTGTCATCACACTAAACCTTTCTTGGTAAACTTTGTTTTGTTGCTAGAGCGGATGTATTGCTACCTCTCTTCCTTGGTTTAGTGATCTCTAATTGTTTAGTGGACCTTCAATATGTCCTGACTGGAGCTAAGTTTAACTTCATTATAGATAAGATTTTATTTTGATGAATCACACAGGGTTGTATATTATCATTTACTGATGATATTTCGAGCACAAATTATCGCTCGTAATCATATCAAGTTACCTCTTAACTCATATATATATATATATATATATATATATATATATATATATATATATAGAGAGAGAGAGAGAGAGAGAGAGAGAGATTCCTTCACGTGCCCCGTGGAACATAGGTCTTCAAGCTAGAGGCCTGAAGTTTCTGTAGCAGTGTTTATTTTTACAGGATGGGGTTGCTAGCCTCATGCCCAACATTTACTCTTTACCAGTTTTATTTCTGGCTTAGCGAGGTAAAGGAGGAAGTCGCCCGGGGATCGAGTCCCGACCCATGTACATCGTCGGCGGGCATCCTAACCACTGTGCCACCGATGTATATATATATATATATATATATATATATTCCTATGACAAATCCGCGTGCGATCAGATTGTTCCAAATGTGTTGCGCGAATACACTACACGATTCAGACAAATTACATCTTCTAAATGCATTGTCTAAAGATCAATAAATTAGAAATAATATATTAAACCTATTTACAATACACTCTTTACAACAGATTTATTTACGAATTCTTTACAACTGTGTCACTGAAAACATGAAAGAGAATACTTGTACAATGAAAAGAACAGTAAACTAGTTACTACGTTCCCACCCCCACACTTCTTAGAATAATCCGAATGAACAAAAACATAATGTGTTAGCGAATTGATAATCGGCTATTGATAAAAGGAGTTGTTTACTGCTCAGCAGTCTGCTCTGTCCTCCATTGTGGCTGTAAAACAAGTGAAAAATATAAAAAGACTAGCTGTCTTAATCACACATGTTCATGCATTGTTTCCTGTATCGAGTGGTATAATAAGCATAGTGTTTTATAAGGAAGGTATGTCAATCCATCAAGTTGTGGAGCTATATCCGTTGAGATAGCTAGGACAAGAATAAGGCTTGTCAAGCCACTAATCCTCCTTCATATGCAATGTCAGTCGACATAGGATTAGGTTGGAAAAGAGTTATGGGTGGTCAAACCAAAACCTGGCACCACTCCATTAAGTCTTTGACAGCTGGTTTGAGCCAACCACGTAGGGAAGTGGGGACTTTCTTGTTGGAGCGCTCGAGATTTTAAGAACCAATATCGGCAGACTACTGGTAATATGGCTCAAAACCGTCCTGTCAATGGTGCAGATGCATTCACTCTGTGTGACCTCTCACAGCCATTAAACCCAAATGTTCTTCTCGTACATGTCTGCTCATTTAAAGTGCTTCAATTACTTGTTTTTTCTCTACTTATGTGTACTACATGAAGCGAGACAAGTTGAACTGTTGCGATTCTGAAATTCAGCAAAAATCATTTACTATATAAGTGATGGGCATCGGTGGTGCAGTGGCAGAATGCTCCATAAGCACACGTATCGGCGTCTGGGGTTCGATTCCCGAAACCTTGCCTCCCTCGTACTAAACACAGTAAATAGGGAAGGTTGGGAGTAAGGCTAGCGACCCCATCTCGTAGAAATGAAATCACCACTACTGAAACCTCAAAGCTGGTGCTTGAAGCGCTGTATCCAACTCGGTACACAAAGGAATAAAATAAAATAAATAAGGAGTGATGGCGTATATAGGCGTCGAAGGTATATGATAATAATAATACAAAAACGTAATAATTAAAGCACCTTACTGACTTGAGTACTTACTAACTCGATAAGACTTCACTGTTAATAGTAAAAACAACCAAATAAACAATGGTGTGTTTGTTAAACTTAGCATTATTAGTAAGGAGAGGAAATTAACTACAGAATAACAAAACAAATAAAATTATGTGTAAGTGCATAAAAAAGGAATACAACATTTTCACGTCTCACATACCACTACATTGATTTTCGTAGAATACCGGTAGCAGAACATAAAATATTTCCACATTGATTCAAGTAAGCAAACCACAGTAAACCTTTTAGTTCATATTTTCGAGTAATAAACGTGTATTAACGATGACAAACGACAACTAGATTTGTATGACATGATAAGTCTATACAGAAATTACACGGAGTACATTTATTTCATGTAGAAGTTAGCTGTCTCCTGGTCTGTTCAGGGAATCTATAACCTCTTTAAAACTATGTACTGATCATGGGCTTAATTTCCCGACTTTTTGACAATAGCTTCCGGACTAGAATACTACCTTTACTTACTTCAGCAGCAAATGTTCTTCATGGTCTCGTATATAAAAACACTACATCGTGTCGTGCCTCTTCAGTGTAGCTGTTTAACTTGCACACAAATATTCCTTTAACCCTTTTCATTTTTTTCAAATAAAATCTGTTTGATCCATTCACACTCGTATCCTTAAACTGTTACGGATAAACGTTTTATTTTCTCAAAGTATCTTTGGTTGTCTAAACATATCTGAAAATACAAGCTAGTAGTTTATTTTTCCTTGCATTTGTTGATAATGACATTCATTTATATGGACTCTGCAATCAGAAAATAAAACTCACTTTCTACACATATATATATATATATACATATACGTAAAGGAAGTAACTAAACAGTCAACCCAGTGTTACATTTGTACATATCGTATACACATTTAAAATACTTTAGCAACAATTTACTTGTTGGTGACCGCTTACATATACGCCCTAGTGCAAAAGTCAGGTACTGTTTAATAGAAAATGATCAAATACTAAAAATAGAACGTCTACGTTATCAAATGCAACTGCTACTTTTTTTAAATAACCTCAAGAAATGACTGCGGAACCTGGGGAAGTTATTGACAGGAATGTTCTTTACTAATCAGTGTTATAATTTACATGTGTATAACAGAGTGTAACCCTGCTTCCTTCGTTGCGTAACATCCCCAGTCTAGTATTTCGTAATATTATTATTACTAGAGCACAAACTTGGTACATTATAGGTAAGAAGAAAACCTCATAGTTTGTAAGAGGGCTGAGATACCGCCCGGACGTCCAGATCAAAGTGAGTGGGGTCACCATCGGATTCCGATCCACAAGGTAGTGAGTAGAGCAGCGTCCCCATGATGCCCAGTGACTGAAACTGGTTCACACATGACTCCACCCGTTAACATTCTGGGGTTAATGTACAACATAGGTTTAGAATCAGGGTTCCTCAGCTACCCTAGCTATACCTATATGTCTACCAGTCTGGTTGAACACAACAGACATTCGCATCAGCCTTTTTCACTTCTCTGAGTGACACCCACCACATCACGTGAAGGCAGTGAATAGGTAGAGGCTGTAAAAACGTGCTCATATGACAGCACTTCGAGAGGAAGATGGAAGTTTATCCACTGTCAGACGTACCAGGTCGTTGATAGTGTTACATGGTCCCTATCATGCGAAATCCGCTAGAATCAGTGCGAAGATATTTGGACACAATTGGTTATTTTGTGGTAGGGTAATCACTTACCGCAGACATAATTGCATTCATCCCCACCGAAAGAGAATTCAGTGGAATACAAAACGTAAGTCACAATATTAAGACTTAACAGTTTTAGGGTAATTTTGTGCTATGTGTAAATAAACACTACTGAATAGATACTGAACTAAAAGCCTATATCTACTGATTTCTTTTTGGTACGTATAAATGTAAATATGTCTGCGGCATGTTATTCAAGTAGTAGTATAGTTAATGCTTGCTTAAAGTAAGCATATATGTCTAAATGACTTCCCCTTGATCTCAGAGGATGTCTCCCCACGGTGAGGAACCATTGAATGCTATTAGATAAAAGTGATGCTAGTTCCGTAAACTGATTACATCTTTACTTCATTAAACAAATGTGAAAATGCATTGTAAACTAACAATATACTACAAACAATGAATTCTAAATTGTTTGTCACCGCTATGAATCATATGAACAGGTAATGTAGTTTCACGTCAATTTCATGATAATCAGTCATACTCCTACATAGCGCCGAGTCCCAAGTTGAAGAATCATGTTCAGGGCTGCATCGTGTCGTGCATGTAGTTGCTGCACGAGCGCACATTCGAGGACTGCCAGTGTAAGTTCTCCATTGAAACAGGTATATATGCTGATGTCGACTCCTCCCTACTACTTCACGCCCTTAAGTGATCTAGTACGAAGTTATCAACTCGGTAGATAGGACTTCTGTAAATAAACACGACCGCTACATTACTCTTATTCAAGTTAAAAGCGCATAACAGTGATTGTGCGGAAAACCCAAGTGAAATATTTTGGGACAGTTTAGGAGCAACTGAAACGGCTCCTGTTCCGCCCAAAATTTTCTCACAAAGTTATTCAATCTCATTAATGTCATATATATATATATATATGTATATATATATATATATATTCGAACAGTACTGTATTATACCACGTGGTATAATTAAACTTTATTGAATTCAACGTCATTTCGTTGGTTGGATCGGTTGCCATATATCATTCTTGTGGAAGAATGTATGAAATAAGTCACTCTAAATCACACAGATGGTTGCAAAAGCTACGAAAGTGACCCTTGCCTTTGTGCCATCAGCGCGCCAACGCGACCTTGCCGAGTAATCGAAAAAGTGCCATTCAAAATCGATTTCTATGGTCAATTTTTCAGTTGAGCATTGAAACTTCAAATCTATGCTCCTACATTCCTGACAAACATCAGTGCTTTTCTAGCTCAATATCGATGCAGTCTTGTAAAGCTTCAGACACTACTCATACTGCTAGCCCCGTCGGAAAGTACTCTTCCTTGATTTCTGAATTTTATTGCTATATCCTCTGAGAGGTTTTGATAGGATGGAAACAGAAAGAAAAGGTGGATCACATTCATGGTCATTTATCAGGACTTTAAACTTCATAGTTCGACCTCCTTTCTGCCTACTATATTGTAAGGAGGAGAGATTTGAACTTTTAGGCGGTTTCCCAAGTGATAAATTTATACGTGTGTTTGGCCTTTCTTCACTCTTTCCAGAATATATGTGACCATTTTAGGTGTTTTAGGTGTTTGGTGTTTTCCAATCTCTTACTCAACTGAGATGTGTATGGATTGGTGGACACTTCGCTGTTTGTACTACCTAAGGCCATGTGTATCGCTCATGAGGATCCAATGCTGTGCGCTGTCAATTCGTGATGGTCTGGTGCAACTCTTAGGTATCACATACTTTAACACGCAGACTTGTGTACGTTGCCTGTATGGGATCGTGTTCTCTCCATATCTGATGTTCCGGCACTGGAGAGCTCTATATGAATGTTTGGGCACTTCGCCAAATTAATAGCCAACACTGATTCTTTGAATTTCCAAGATCCGTTTGCAGCGTCAGCACTTCACGATCAACGCGAAGCGCACCATAAAATACGCCACTGCGCAGCGTTGTCCGATCTCAGTTTAGAATTAACACTGACTACTTGTCTCCTGTCTAAGGGGAATTCGTTGATCTGGTTGACAATGTCACCCGTCATTCAAAAACTCTTCGGTCTCATATATAGTGTTGTGTGACGCACTTACTTGCCTAGATCCGCAGAAGTGAAGTTTCGCTCTTTCTGTGTCCAGACCTGACCGAGATGTCCTATGAATTCAAAAATTTTGTCGAACACCAGAAGTTTCCGAGCACATATTGCTGTATGTTGAGTAACGATATGTTGTTTCCCATTTATGTCCTGATAGCTTTCTCGACTGTTTTTCTCGGTCTGTTTATTCCCGTGCCAGTCAGAATAGTAGGCATATATTTCCCAGGGCTGTGACTAGATCCTCATATATGGATAGAAGTTCATATTGCACCTGGCTAGTCATGCAGCAACTCTTCATGTGAGAGGGATAACGTGATGGCGGTTGAGTGGAAATGCCACCAGCTCTCTGAGAAGACATAGGTGAAGATTACCGCGTACGGGATCGACGAATTCATGCCAAAGCCTTGTTTCCAGTCACTCTTAATTCTGAGTACAATAAGCATGTTCGAGTACTACTATTTGCGCCCGTATAGTCCATTAACGTCCTGACTTATTCAAGTTGATAATGTTTTAACCAATGTGAACAACGCATGTTATCAGGTGTCTGCCTGAAGTCCACTGAATAAGCTTTATTTAAGCTTCACACAAACTTCTAGATTCATAGTCTATTCATGTATGTGTAAAACTTGGGCACTGTGGTGGTAAGTAATTCAATATTACTTTGTTTATTAGATATATCACACAGTGAAACAGTATTATTTACTGGATCACGTTTCCAACAAAACTTATTGTCCATAAACATTTCAACTATAATCACACAACTTCGAAACCTGGATTTTATAGTTTTCTTAGTTCTCTCCTTTTTGTCGTCGTTGGGGTAGTAGAATCTTCCAGATATCCACCTGGGGCAGGTGGTGAATCATTGGTATTACACGTATTTGCAGTTGATTTGATAAAGAAACTTTGTCTATTCTTTGATAGCTCTACACACCCTGTATCAATCATAGGTGTTTAACCCACGCTTGGTAGAATTGAGTTTTAGGCCGCCAATACCCTGGTGGTTGTCGGCTAATAGTTTCGTCAAATAGGGCCGCCTCTTCCCATTGGTCGAATATGTTGCATGAAGCCTATATCCTCGTTGTGGGAGAAAATCATATCAACAGTTGGAGAGGAGTGCCTCAAATCATAGTACACGGATTTCGGGATGTACCTGGCTATAATGAATGGTATGGAAGTTTCTGACGGCCTGCGACCAAAGGAGTTACCCCACAATGTCACAGTTGGAACAATCTAGTCTTCCAATGGATAGCTGAAAGTACCCTATGTAAGGCCACCAAACTTTGACACTTTGACTATAACTTTTCATGGGAAAGCTGTCTGCCGTCCAATGAAGGCTACGATATGTTGAGATTGTACGGATGCATTTCCTTTTTAGTTTCAGTCTGCAGTATATAATTTCACACGCCCCACTTCCTGATGCGAGGAATGTACCACGTAAAAGTGTGGTCACCAGAAGGCACTTAATTTTTCAACCATCTCTGCTCCAGTCATGCTTAAGTTTCACATTGTGTTTTGACCGAAATGGAGGAAACATTTGATATTCACAAGTGGGCCGGGCTACTCAACTCATTCCATTCGTTCAACAGCATGAGAACATCAGCATGGTATTCCGATAGCTTGGTTTGGCGACTCCACATTCCAATAAGAGAGGTCTTGAGATTACCGCGCTTCAAGCTTTCACTATTCTAAATCCTTTGGTCGTTAGATTTTTCTCGGTGTCCCGGAGCCCTTCTCTTAATTCTATTTCAGCTAACTGTCTTTCGATACGGTCTGTTGGGCAGAGGTCTGCTATCGAGCTCTTGAAAATATGAGCATTATTTACAACAACGTCTAAGTTTCGTGTTCATCTGAGACTCTGGGGAGCGACATTGGTTTATTTGTTGCAGACTCAGTCCTTGAGGTAACTTTACGCAGACTGTGAATAGTAATATCTGCTAATGCCATGGGGAGTAGCTCGTCTATGGTAGGTTTGATTAGAATGATTGGTAAAGTTCAACAATAGCGTCCCAGGAGTACGAACGCTGAAATGACCTAGAACGCCTTCTAGTCGCTGGTTGAGGAAACTCACCATTATTCTGGCGCGAAAATGAAGCGTGTATATAGGCTCAGGTACATATATCATTCAGATAACGTATTTCAAAACTACCTGGAAAATGGATTGATTGGACGTTCTCGTATATGTAGATGTGGTGCTTCAATGAACCTGCAGGTATATTCTCAGGTCACTGATGGATATATATTTGAATGTACAGAGTGCAGGAAAAGAATAAGTGTTCGTACCGGCAAGTGACACTCTCAGTTATTTATCTTCCAGGAACTCTCTTTGCTAAATCGAAACTTTCCTTAAAGAATATACTGTTTCTGTGCCATTACTGGTGTCAATCACGTCTCATAAACCGTTAATGCCCAGCTCTCGCTACGCTCGGGCCCACGCTGTTCTTCTAAGATTTCTCAGAAACGCTTAGTTATAACGGACGCAAAAACCAAAACACTGATCTGCCGCGTTAGATTTGTTTATTGTTACACCAACATATAAAAGGAATAAGCGAACTAAGCAAACTAAGGTCTGAAAACAAATATTACAATAATAAATCTCTGTATTACTTCTGACGATGTTTCACTCTTCTTTCTGAACAGCGACCGATGAGACGATGACTGTCGTATTGATGCCTCCGCGAAAATTGGGGAAGTTGATTTTGAGCAAACAACCAAGAATTGATCGTTCAATCTTCAACTCCATTGACACTCCCCGGCAAAATAGGGATCCAACCCTTTTTTCCTTCACGACCAATACACGTTGACTTGGATGCCATTGCGAGAACCTGGGTCACACGGACAGAGCTGAAATGGAAAACAAACAGAAAAGCCAACACACCACAAGCATACCCACAGCACAATCTCACACATCAATGACGACCTGCGCGTCCAGACAGAGACCTCCTCTTGACATCTTGCAACACAATCGCCACTTGCTAGAATGACTCTTGCAGAATGCAATGTGACCATAGCACCACCTCACGATACTCTACGCACATCCTCTTATCTACTCACTACCAATTACCACTGAAATCGCTTGTCACTCATTCTGCCTCAGTTCTAGTAGCGGTGACGCATGCGAGCCTCAGTCGTTTACACTCTTTCTCCCCGGCGTGTCGGACCGCAGCTAACAATTATCTCCGTGTGCATTTCATTCTCAGCAATAGCCTCCCCGGCGTATACGACCCATCTGCTGTCTCTAACATCAATCAATTCATTCATGGATGTAGAAGACTCGAAACAACTTCAGAAGTAATCACGACGAAAATTTTAACAAAATTATGCAATAACAACAAGATACGAAAACAACAAGTAAACACAATGAATCCAAAAACACCAATTGATATGACACACCACACGTATATACAAATAGTACAAACAACCTCGCGGATCATGTCTTGATGGAATTCCTTTGAAGAATTGCAGGACTTACACCAGTACGCCTACAACCCTTCTCAGGTTGACGATTGTAATTTGTGGAATGTACGGACACAAACAAGATTAACCAACAATTACATCAATTGGAACTCACACAATTATTTAACACAAACATATGTACAATCAACACATCAAATGTTGTGGATTCTGGCACGACAAACTACCCTTGAAGAACTGTAGGACTTACAGCAGTACGCCTACATTCCTTCTCAGGTTGATGATCCAAGTGGAAGTCGTCCGGACACAAACAGAATTACCAACAGCTAGATGACAGATGATATCAATTCAGTATATACAATATGAACATATGTACAAAATCACACACCAAGCACATTGGACTGCTCATTGATGCGCTACCCTTTGAAGAATTGTAGGACTTACAGCAGTACGCCTACAACCCTTCTCAGGTTGACGCCCTAGGTTGGAAAATCGTCGCAGAGTTCATTTGCTGACTTCCTTCTATGAGCTAAATCCTCAAATCTGAACGGCAACACGCCCATGTCATTGTATCGTAGAATATAGATGACGAACAAACACACGGCATATCTCATCAACCAA